AACACTTTCATGAGCTGTGATTAACTTCAGGCCTTTCACAAAACAGATGTTAAGATTTTAAACCTTTAGGTCTGCAGTTTTCATCTCGTTCCACGGCATGAGTGGGGGCAGGGGGAGAAGGGAAAGAAAAGAAGAAAAACAGAGCAAAGAACAATAAAAAACTAATTAATTTTAAAGCAGGTTTTTGGTTTTTGTTTTTGGCAACTCAGGCCCATACAGTATATTCTTGCCCATGTTTGAAAAGGGTCTGAAAATGTGAACTTCATGAAGATAAAGTCTCTGTGTTGCTCACTGGTATAGAGTAAGTGCTCAGTGATGAGTTGCTTACTGTGAATTTAAAAACCTGATAATGATGACACAGGTACATTTCTTTCTCCTTCTGCCTCCTCATAAACCCGCCTGGGAACTGACCTTTTGCACCACAGCCCAGACCGCAAAGCTGCGTGGCCACTTGAAAGGTTCCGTGCTTGTTCCCGCCCTCCCCCACTCCCCTCGGCCCTGCGCTGCAGAATTAGCTAGGGTGGCGTGTCTGCCACGTGCAGGGATGGAACCCTCACCAGTCTTCACGGATATCTGTTATACGAAAAACTGTACAGCGTGCAAAGGTATTCTTTGTTCTCTAACGGGAAAGTTTTATTTTCTGAAGACAGACAAATGTATTGAACATCCGGGGCTCAAACGCTGGGTGTAATTACGTGTGGCCACTAAACACCTGGTAAGGCACGCACAAAAAGAGCACTCTTTGTGAATGCAGGGTGAGTGTCGGGGGGCGCTCCTGACTGTTGGGGGTTTTGAACACGAAGACACTTCCATGCTGAAGGAAGCGCTCACCCCACAGAGGTAAGTGATGGTGTTGCAACATGATTATGGGATTCAATGGAGAGGAGAGGAGCTTGGGGACAGTGGGCGGGAGCCAGCCCCTGCAGGGGCACTGTGCTATACACCATGGCAGAACTCAAAGGACCCCTGCACAGAATGGCACGTCATCTCCCTCAGTGACTGGGAAAATCTGAAGCAGGGATGTGCGAGAGAAAGAGTTCAATTCAAGAGGCAAAGCTGAGAGCAGGTGGGACCAAGGAGGAGCAAGCTGCCGGGGTGGGAAGGGCTTTGCACAGCTCTTGGTCAAAACCCGTCTTTGTCACAGAGCCCCCACCCCCACCCCTACAGGGGCAGCAAGTTGTAGGTGAGATCCTAGCGAAGCTCCTGAAATGAGAAGTGGCAGAAGATTTTGTGGCTGTCACTAACCGTGGGACGCAGAGCCCAGCATCGGAGTGTGGGTTTGGGACCAGAGGGCGGTGGTTTGAATCGCACTGGCGTCGATATCCGTGTGACCTCCTTTGCAAAGGGGGACAACAGCCCGCCCTGCGACTCACAGCTGCTGAGAGAGCAGAAGGCGTGGGTGCAGGGTGCAGGGTGCTGGGCGAGCTGTGAGTCCTCAATAACCAGTCAGTGCTGTCACCGCCAACGGGGCATTCCAAACCCTGCCTCTCGCTGGTGTCTTTCCAAGTCATTATCAGGACTTTGGAATTAGGCCTCTGTGTTTGATCTTTGTTATTTTACTTCTTTGAGCTTTGGTCTGTTCATCTCTAAAGGTAAGCTAATACCTATAACACAAAAAAAATGTGCCCAGCACTGAAACTCTGTATGTTAATAACCAGTGAGCATTGATCTCCCAACCAGAGGGTCACATTTGTACAGCTATCTTTCCTGGAGTCAAGAAAAAAAAAACATCGGGTGCATTCAGATTCCTGAGGCCTGCCCAGGTGGGCGCAGTGAGAGTCTGGGGCACTCTGGTCTGCCCGGGGCGATGCCTTGAGTTAGGCAGTGTACGCTTTCTGTCAGCAGTGGGAGCGTAGGACTCTGCAGCAAAGCAAAATAGCCCCACACCTGAGGTTCCTCAGGCTTGTCTCAGGAGGCGCTCAGAGCTGCAGACTTTCTCCATGCCAGTGGTGCCCTCAGTTACCTTCAGTTCCCGCAGGGAAGACAGAAGTCCCTGCTGACCGGGGCCGCCATGGTGACGGCCGCTTGTCCTCCGACAGCAGACTCAGGCAGTGGGCCAGATCAGGCACCTGACGGAGACCCTAGGGACAAGGCTGGTTTTGAAATGATTTCCCCGACGTTACCTTCAGCTACCCAGTGTCCGAGACCTTGGACGGAGCCTGTGGGCAAGGGTGTAACCACTGAACCATTCTTCACGGTCAGAGACTGGAAACAGAGTCACTCTCTCCTGGTGTTAGGTTGTTGGGTGTTGTTCAGACCCCTGAAGCCTGTGGGGTGAGTGCATTCATTAGAATAATATAGCCGAGGATTTAAGGGATTTGGGTCCGGTTTTGAGCCCTTCCGGTTTTGACCTCTGGCTTGACCTGAGCTCAATTCCTTAATCTTCTGGTTTCTTCCTCACCTCCTCAAGCCGCCTCTGGCCCCACGCTGAGTGCCATAGCCGGACGGATAAATTAAATAATGGCCTTTATAGCGTCACTGAGAACGGAGTAAATTGCTCTTCTGTGGGATCCATTAGCTCGACCGAGAATATTAGCCCAGCATTCTGGGTCTGTGATGGACTATAAGGAGTAGGGCGGCATCAATTCTCATGCCTCGCTTTGGCCCTCAGTGACTCGACAACAGATAAAGTGTACAGGGAAGAGAGGGCGGAGCAAGGACGGGAGAGAGGGCTTGGGGAGTGCCAAGAAGAGATGAAGGGGCGGAGGACCCCAGGAGAGAGGGAGGCCCCAGTGGAGACACGCAGGAAAGAGGAGATGGGGGTGGCAGGGAGAAACACGGGACGGCCATTGAGTGACAGGGAGAGCAGGGTTGGAAACGAAGATTCTAACCAGACGGCCGGTCACTGGGGTCCGGCGGGAGGTATGGAGAAGGGGGCAGAGCGGAGGGGCAGGCAGGTTTGTCCCAGAAAGAGAGGGTTTGCTGCTGCCTCTGGTCCTTCTGGGAGCTCTCTCCACATTCCCGGGGCTCCCCCTCCTCAGCCCTCGGCTGCTGGCTCTGGGAGTTAGCTTTGACACTGTGTGAAGCATTTCACCTCTCAACAGTGTAAGACCCTGGGCGAGACCCTTCAGGTGGGAGGTCTTCAAGGCCCAGGGAGTTCATGGGGGGTCTGCTGGGGAAGGGCCATTCCTGGGGGCTCCTAATCAAACAGTCAGCACCAGCACGTAGGACAGGAGATGACGGGCCAATGAGAAAAGGAGTAAAAGAGAACAAGACAATTTTGTGGGCGTCTTAGTGATGCCTGCCTACTCCTCAGTCCTCTCAGCTGCACCCACTAAGGGTGACAGGAGTGAGTAATCATCTCACACCCTCACCTGGCCCCCAAGCAGCCTCATCCGTCTGCTGTGATTGGTTTAGGAGTGGTCATGGGAAACTGTAATAACAATGGCTGCGGCGAACACTTACCGCTTACTCTGTGGCAGGCTCATCCGCCCTGCAGTCTTCCAAAAGCGATTTGGGGTGGTTTACAATCAAAGACACATTATAAGAGGAAGGGAGGAACTATACATACATACCTTGGCTGAGAAAAACTATAGCAAATTTAACACTTTTTGCAGTAACTGGTTTGAGAGAGATTAACTCTTCTTTTTCTCCACCATCCTCTGAAATAGCTACTTTTAGTGACCCCCTCTTTATGGAGGAGGAAACTGGGAAAACTAGGATTTGACATGAGGTCCTTGGCTTGCCTTCAAAGGTCAGTAAGAAAGAAAGGAAGAAAAGAAGGAAGGAAGGAAGGAAGGAAGGAAGGAAGGAAGGAAGGAAGGAAAAAAGAAAGAAAGAAAGAAAGAAAGAGAAAGAAAGAAAGAAAGAAAGAAAGAAAGAAAGAGAGAAAGAAAACTTTGCAGGAGACTGGCTACTTATTTTCAACAATAGCAACTCTAAGCTGTTCACCAGAAAAGAAAAAAATAATATGTATATATATATATATATTCTGCCTGCCACCAAAAGATGGCCAAAGCGATGCTGTGCAGTGTCTCTCTCAGCGTGGAGCTCGGAACACCCCTCGGGTACAGGCCCTTATGACCCAGTCCTCTCAGAGCTCGCTCAGAGTCACAAAGACTTGCTCCTGCAGCAACTTTGTGGTTCCTTGCACTTGGTAATGAGACTTCTGAAAATCCTCCTGTTCCCTCTTTCAGATGGCAGTGAGGACAGTTGGAACCACGTGTAGTGCTCAAATACTCTCGTTGGTCTCAGTGAGAATTTCTTCTTCTTCTTCTTTTTTCCAATGTTTGTATTTCATGACAAACCACCTAAGGCTCTTTGGAAGGAAGCACAGTATAAACAAACAAAAGACAAACAAAGTACAATTCTGTTGGGACCATGCTAGGGACCTAATACTTTAACCAACATAGTTTACATAACACCCCGAAAACTCTTTATCCCGAGAAGAGTATTCTAAACAGAATCCCAGGCAGACACTATTGTTCATGGTGTTTATCGAGTTTTGTACGCCTCTCAAATAGCATTCCACACCACTTTGGGCAAAGAGCATCACATCTAGAGAAAATTAGCTGATTGCTCTCATATGTCTTCTTGTTACAGGGATCTAATTAACATTTTGAATCTGGTCCAAAGCTGTGCTCTAAAATAACCCAATTTAAGTCTACATTTATCAGTCAGGCTTAAAGTGAAGAATAGTTCCCCTCCTCCCAGCCGCTCACTGGTGAGTGACTATGCTTAATTTGTAGATTTTTACTTGGTTCCAAAATTTCTTCCAGGAACAAAGCCATATTGCGTCCCACTGACTGACAGGCACTCCGCCCCATGTTCTACCACCCACCCCGGCAAGCCTGTTAAGAGCCAAGACGTAATTGAATAACAAAACCCCATCATGTCTTCTTTGCTATTTTTGTGTGATCAAGCCTTTCAAAGAACAAAGCCTTTCACTTCTAGAACTTTCCTTGCAGGTATGATTTCCTCTGCCTCACCCTACTTGATTTTAGTAATTTGGCAGTTTGACTAGAATGACTCTATTTTACTTTTTCATTCTATTCCTCAGAAGCATTTTTTAAATTTTATTAAATGTATTGGGGTGGCATTGGTTAATAAAATTATATAGGTTCCAGTGTGGAATTCTGTGACACATCCTCTGTATATTTCATGGTGCGTTCACCATCCAAAGTCAAATTTCCTGTCACCATATATTTGACCCCCTTTACTCATTACTGCCTCCCCTCCACCCTCCTTTCCCTCCAGCAACAAACAAGATGAACAAATAAAAACTCATAGATACAGGTAACAAAAGCATTTTGGTTGGGTGTTCAAAATGTGCAACTGGATGGAGCCGGTCATCAGGGCCCTGGCAGGGACCATGTGTTACTGTGAAACATTTTCGTCCAGGGAGCGGACTTTGTAATCAACATGCTGGCAGGTGTACTTGTTGTCCATTTTAGTCACATTATCAACAGGGACAAGTTATTTCAGAAAAGAAGCTTCATTTTGCCAATTTAGAAATGGCTTTGGCATTTCATCCAAAGGTCTCTGAAAAAAAAACAGACGTTGGCCTTGGTGCTGGTGCATCAAATAAATTGCAAATGAAACAAACAGGCCTGCCTCTTACTGAAGGTGTGGTTGCAGAGCCCCGTGACTCTGCGTGCCAGGGACTTTATCCGGCACATTTCTGAACTTTGCAAAATTAATTGTGCTGAAAAGAATATCATCAAACGCGTCCGGCATACAGAGTAAACATATTCAAACCATGATTCTGCGCCATCAAACGCTCTCCAGCTAATTTCATTTGGTGCATTACTCTGGAAGAAAATCGAGGCCAAGTGAAACTGCGGAAATGGGAACAATGCAGGGAGGAAAAATCTCACCCCATTAAAGGAACCGTTTCTTCTCCGCACAAATAAGCCCACCACGCCTTGGAGGCAAGACTAGAAGGCTCCAGGATATTCTTAGAACGCCCCGCGTGCCCTGTTGTGCTGAGGGATCCTTGCACCAGGGTGGAGGAAGGTGGCCTGAGAGGCAGCGCCCCGGCCCTTGGAGCATTTTAGGTATCTGTAATAAGACCCTCTCCCCGCCCCGCTCCGAGGCGCAGAAGCTCATTTTCGTGTGTATTTAGAGAGGAAGCTAAATCAAGGCGCCACGTTTTCCTCTGTGCTATGCACTGTTTGCAAAGCGCATTAACAGCGTGTGGGCTGGCGCTCTCCTTCCCGCGGGGCCTCCTCGCGCTAGGCCGGCCTTGCGTGAGGATTTGCACCGGCTCGCCGCTCCGCTCTCTCCGGCTCTCCCAGGACCTTTCCGGAGATTGGCCTCCGGATTCGCCTCGCCTCGGAAGCACCCATCTTGGCGCTCGGGCCCGGTGCGCGGCCGCTCTCCTCCGGCACTCAGAGGAGGCCTAGCGGGCGGGCGCCGGACGAGCGCCTGGCCTGGCGGTGGGGAACGGGGTCGGCGGCGGGGACGCGCGGGCAGCTTCCGGCGGGGGCGCGCGGGGCGCGGGCGGCGCGGCGGGGCGGGGCGGGGGGCGGGGCCGGGGCCGCAGCGCCCCCAGCCGAGTGGCGTGCAGGCACCGCCCCCGCGCGCCGCAGTCCGGGCAGGAGCGTCTTCTCCGTGGCCGTGGCCGTGGCTGTGGCCGTGACCGTTGCCTCCGCGCGGCTCTGGCGGCGGCGGCGGCTCCCGGGGCTTGCGGAGGGCAGCGGGCGGCCCCTAGCCCGTGGCCGCCTCCAGCAGTCAGCGCTGGGACCGGGGGGCGAGGAGACGGCGGCGGGTAGTGCCTGGCCCTCCTCGCCTCCAGCCCCGGGCGACTGCGGACTCCGGGTAGTCCCCGGGCTGCGGCCAAGGCAGCGGAGCGGCCGGCGGGGAATGGCGAGATAGCGGCGCGAGAGCAGCCCGTGAGTGCCCGGGGCGGGTGGGCGCGGCGTGGGCAGTGGGAGCTGCGGAGCCCGGTCCCGTGGGCGCGTCGCCGCGAGCGCCTGGCGGCCCGGGCAGCGTTGGGGGCAGCGCTCCGGCCGGCTCTGGTCTCGAGTCTCCGAGAGCATCCGAATTGAGTGACCTGGGTGGGGGGAGGGGGAGCGCTCGGAGTCGCGCCGCTCCGTGCGCGCCCTTGGGCCACTCTCAGGTCCCGGAGGGCGCCGACTCCGCTGCTGCGAACTTCTGCCCCCTACGTAGGGCATGAAGTTCTGAGGACAGAGGCTCCGGGGGGTGGGGGTGGGAAGGAGACTTAATTTTTATTTTTGTCTGTATTTTGATATGCTCATATCCCAAGGCGCTATATTGATTAAGTCCAAAGTTAAAGTGGTAGCAATTACAGTTAGGCTCCATGACAAATGCCACTTCTGACGTGTTGTCTCACATCACAGGCTGGAACCGTGAGTTCTGACCGGCAGAAAACTGCCTATCAGGGTTGTGGCTTTACATCTAGGCTTGAATAACGCGGTTCTCTCCGTCCCTCATCTTTTGCTAGCAAAAATATATGAAGTTTTTTACTCACAGTTGGGTATCTTTGTGTTTCTTTTTATATGCATGTGTTTAATACAGTCAACTGTTGACACACCGCGAGGGGCATTTGTGTGGAAATTATGTTTTTGCATTTCTTTTTTATGTGTATTTTTAAGATTACATTCAACAGAAAAGTTTGCTTAAAGCTTTCCTTCCTATTTGTTCATTTTCATTTTCAGATTTACTTTTAAACAATTGCTTGAAGTGAAATTAATGCGACTGAATAGTATCAGTCAGTCAGGGATAGGGAAATGATCCCTAACCTACATTTAAAGCAACCTCCCCTCCCCCACAAATGACAACGCTTTAAAAGCTTTAAAAGCGTTTGTTCGGTGCAAATGATGCTTGCCCCTCCCCTTAACTGATTATTTTGCTGCAGATCTGAAATCATATTTCACTGATATCAGAGGGTGGCTTGTCTGAGCCTGGCAGAGAAAAGGAAACCCAAGCATAGAGTGTTTTTATTGTAAAAACAGGAGAGTGTCCCCTCACTTGTTTCTTACTTGGACTTTCTACTTTGTGGCCAGGTGGAACCTGTGTAGCTTTGTAGGCTTCGTTAGGTAGGTACATGCTCAACTGAAATGTGAGGTAAGTTTGTTTAGGTGAACTGTGCAGCTATTTCTCTCCCAAGAATCGAACGGAGGCTTATTTGCTTTGTAATAGGTTAGGTCACAACAAGCACGCCTCCCTTCTGGGAATTAAGGAACAGGAATGGTGCAGTCGAAGAGAACAAACTTCTGTGGTTCTTGAATGCTTTTGCTTTTTGATGGCCATCCCTGAATAATAAGTTGGCAATAATAGGGAATATCCCAACATTTTAAATTATCCTATTAATCTGTGGGACGGGCAGTCCGTGCACACTGTGGAAGGTTCTGTAGGTAAAGACAGGTGTAGAATGGAAAGTATATATACCTCTCTCTTCCCAATGCCCCGCTGCACCCTGTTCTCCCCGGTAACCAGGGTTACTAGCTCCTTGCTTGTGTCTTTCCAGATGGGGCATATGTTAGTATAAACATTTAGTATGTTTCTTTTTATTTGTCTTTCCACAAATAAGGGCACATTGTATACTCTGTTCTGCACCAGCTCCCGCCCTCTCCTTAGAGTACGAAATCTTGGCAGTCTCTCTTATCAGTACCTAAGAGAGCTGTCTCATTCCCCAGCAGCTGCTGAGCACTCCATTAAGGAGAAACCCTAATTGATTTAACCTCTTCTTTATTGAGATAGGTGTAGGCTGTTTGTAATATTTTGCTATAAAATTGTAAAACATTTGTTTCTGAGGTTTTTAAGTGGATTTCAATTATTGCCAGAGGCCCGCAGAAGTAATTTACTTCTTTGCGGCACATTCCAGGAAATAAATGCCTCTTCACTCTAATGAGCACCTTTTGTTTTTAGGGAATTTCCAAGGGGTCCATAAGGGTCCCTGGTGTCTTTGTGATGAAGTGGTGAGGGCCAGGAACTAAAGTCACACACCTTGATTAACACCTTAGGACTTCATTTTAACACAAGGAATCAAAGGAGAGACATAGATTTTTAAGAATAATGGTCAAGAAAAATTCTTAAGAGTTTAAATATATTTGAGCATGGAGAAAAGACGTATACCTTTGATGAAGCTGAAGCTGACAGCAGTTTGTTTTATGAAACTTGTTTGCCCCCAGGCACTGAAATCCCTCTCTTGTGCACATTTTCACCAATATCTCAAATTTTGATGTTGCTCTAATATGGTTACAGATTGCACAGTTTGGGAGGGGGTTATTGATAAGTCTTAAAGGGGAATATGCTTTTAGAAAATATTTGGCTCTTTCATCGTAAGTTAAAAATTGACTTCTCAGAGTGCTTTCAGAAGAATAAATTGTAGAAGTCGTGCTAATGCTAGAAATTGAGCCTAATGCATCATGAAATCTGAGTATCAGCCGCTGTTGAGCCTCACATTTCCATCACGTTTATTTTTGAGAATGTTTCTTAGACGAGTGCAAGCAGTAATGACCTTTTTGTTTTAACTGATCAAACACATGTTTTCGCACTTAAGGTATTTGCTTTTTCCTTTATTATTTGGTACCTGTCATCCTGGTACAAAACTGCTAATATCACTTATATTTGCTTTTCCTAAATGAGTGCTTATTGAGCATTTGTTACACCATTTCAGGCAACTTTATGGGGACTGAGAATGTAGCAGGGCTCGGTGGACTGGCCCCACGGTAATGAGTTCACATCTCAGCGGGGAGACAGAAAGCAGAGGAGCCATAAAGGAGATAGTATCAGATAGTGCTAAGTACTGGAGAAGTAATAAAACAGGGGGCGGTGCTGCTGGTGTGGGCTGAGCGCCTCTAGAAACCTCTCTGAGACGGCAAGATTTGAGCGGAGAGTTGAAGGACGGGAAAGAAGCCTGTAGTTTTGGAGATCCGGAGGGAGAGCGGCTCGGGCTGAGGGAACAGCAAGTGCAAAGGCCCAGGGGTGGGGCTGAGCCTCAGGTGCCCGGAACAGAGGCTGCCGTGGGGCTGGAGTTGATGGTGAAGGGGACGTGCGGAGGGCAGGACGGAGCGGGCAGCAGGCGCTGGGACCATGCCCTGCACGTTTGCATACGTCAAAGGATGTTTACAGAAGTGGAACGGAGACCTTGGGTGGCGGCGTTTCTCCACCTGCTGTGAGCTCCAGAAGGGACGGGTCCCCAGCACCAGGAGCAGCCTCGGTCCCAACGGGCCGGGAGTATTTGCCGAATCAATAAATCATCAAAGAGTTAAAACAATAATCTTGCTCGCTTTGGGCCAGAATGCTTAGATTTGGAAGTTTTTTTTATCTGAGCTTTCCACCTGGGCTCCAGCCCTTGACATCACCAGATCCGTCACCCTGTTGCCACAGCCTCTCAAATGATTGCTGAAGCCACTTGCGTGGGATTGCTGTGCTCTGAAATTCAAGTGTGAAGCCTTAAAAAACCACAGCTAATTTTCCAGGACGTTCTAGTGATCTCTAAGTCAGAACTCTACCTTGATTTCAGCGGATGAGCCATTGGCTGAAGTGTAAAATCTTCAGAGATCCCCCCCCCACCCCCACCCATTTTGTACTGAATGTCTCATTCCTCTGGGCCGACGACGGGCCGGTGAGCACATGTGTGTGTTCCCTGCGCAGGTGCTGTTCTCCTCACGGAAGGAATGCGTGCATGTTCTATTTCAGGGAATACCAGGAACTGCGGTGTTTCCTCTTCCCACTTCTAAGCTGTCATTCTAAATATATGTTCCTTTATGTTCGTTGGAAGCTCGGGAAGTGGATTCTGTGCCAAGCAATTGTTGTAGACGTCTAATAGGAGTCTGCCCTCTTTGCCTCGACTGTGACTTTTGGGCTCCTGTTCAACATCGGGAGTTTGGGGGATCTTGCAGAAGGAGGGTTTTGGATGTTTTGATTTCCTCTTTTACTTGGTTGGTCCCAGGGACTCAGTAAGTTGTTTTCACGGGAGAGGGTTTTATCCCTCATCCCTCTCTCACAAGCTGCGTGCACACACTGTCGAGGGTGGGTTCTCTGACTCGAGCCCTTCAGTCACCTGCGTCACTGTCACTGAAGGGAAGGCCCCTCAGGCAGAGAGCAGGTGCTGGGAGCATCTGCGGTGCCGGGAGCTGGCGGAGGTAAATGCAGGGACCTGGGCGTTTGGGGCCCGGCACTCTCACGACTTCCTGTGCATTTCCGTTGTGCCCTGCAGAGGTGGGGTCTTGCTGCACCTTTGTCTCACTGTCTGGAATCACCACACGCCTTCTCACCAGCCACTGCCGCTGTTGCTCGTGGGAGCAGAGGTTGTGCTTTATGGTTTTACGTTGCAAGTCGAGGGGGAAGCTTCTGGTGGGCAAATTTTTCACGTGCTGTTGCTCGGATGTGATACACTCTTGGCTCTGACCTGTCCGTAGAGCACGTATGGAGGAGGACTTGGAATTGTTCTCTGTGCCTGTAGGTGAGAAGGCATGTGT